TTTTTTTTCACAGCTTTTAAGCTATTTACTACTTAATCTTTTCGCACTAAGAAGATTTTTATTTCAGAATGACGGCAGTTGCGTCACCATCAAAAAGTAAGCAGCTAGTGCCGATTCCACCTGACGGTGGTTGGGGATGGGTCGTGGTGCTGGGATCGTTCTTCGTCCACGTTTTCGCTGATGGTTTCGTGTACTCATTCGGTGTACTTGTTGAAGTGCTCATGAAGGTGCTTTTTTGTCTTCTTCTTTTTTACCTAGGGTTCAGTGGCGCCAGAGTTATAGCGATAAGAATAGGAATCGTTCTGTGCGTACACCTAAAAGGATCGAATGCGTTCATATTCCAGCAAAAGCCCTTACATGGAAAGGTAGAAGCGGGGTCTTGACAGTAGTCAGTGGCTCCCAGTTGTTTATGACCTTTGCTAAGCAGTCTTAACCTCAGTTCAGTGCAACCGCCCTTTTCAATGCCTGGTTAAAAATACCCTGTGATGTTCCCTAGGTACAAGGCTTGCAGGAAGTCTTCGGAAGAAAGCCAATGAAAGAGTAAGGGGAAATGAGTAATCGCAGAGGAAGTCAAAGGGCATGATCAAGTTGGCATGGGGAAGACGATCAATGAATTATCACAATTTTACACTCAACGAACTTCTTAACTAGTGAAAGAGCTGAAATGGAGCCGTGCATATGACCACACTCTGGCGCTAAGGGCACCATGGCCGACTGGTGAAGTGTTCGCCCCCAGTGATTTACCTTTGCTGCCTCAGTCAGGAATACGCCGTCTCGTCCCTAGATTATCATTCTCCTCCGACATACTTGCCTAGAATGCATACACCCCCAAAATCCTCCCCTCATTCGTTGGGTATGCCAGTTCCTTGGTTCATCCCTTTTTTCCTTTTCTTTTCTATTACCAATAATTGTCTTGAGTTCGCGTACTGATTGAGCCGGCGCGTTTACATGGACGTATAAATAAATATTGTAAATAAATGTAGGGATTACCGTAAAAGTATAACGGCCAGTTGTCAGACTAGTTTGAAAACTCAATGATAAAAAAGTTTTGAAGAGAAGCTACAACACCTACTATTAATTTTGTTTGCTCTTTGTTTATTTGTTTGTTTGTCCGTTTAACCGTTAAAAAAGTGGATCGATTGTTGTCTTGATGAATGGAAAAAGATAAAGCTTTATCCGTTAATCAATCTCTTCTGAGTGATGCGCCCCGAATTCGACTTCAATTCAGAATCGTGGTGGCGTCGGCGGAGGTGATGTAGCGGCAAGTGGCGCACTATATCACACGCACGGTCAAGGGTTCAAATCCCGGATCGATGCCCGCCTAGGCCAATCAAACCTTCAATCCCTCCGGGGTCGATTAATTGGTACAAACTCGTCCGAGAGGATAAAAGCACTGACTTGACATCGGCTGGCCACCGCAAGTCATTGTATGGGCCATATACGCACTCATCACGCCACTACGATTCTGAATGGAAGTCGAGTGCGGGGGCGCATCCCTCAGACGGGATTGATTAACGCCAAAAACTCCATCCTTTATCCGTTATGGGTTTTTTGTTGTCTTTATTTTTCATCCGGAGTGCTGCTACAGAGGGAAACGCAGAAGTGATTATAACTGTGTTTACTGCGTTAACCGAATTACTTTCTTTCACATTGTCGGTTCCAATTAATGCGAATATAAATATGGAGAAAGAGAAAAAAAAGAATAATTCGCTTTGGAAAATAATTTGCCATTTTTAATTAATATCAAACCCATGCTAGGACAGAAGATTCAAGACAGTTAATCGCACCCCACTCAGACCATCAGAACAGTGATGGGTTCTCTTGGAATAGGCAATTGTTGTTGAGTTGGTCAAGCTAGGTAAGCAATGAAAGGGTTAAGCCCACGAAGCTGACTATCGAGATCTCGCCGCGGATCGATTGTTACTCTAAAGTTGTTTTTAGTACTATCTACCTAGAACTAGACAGATAGTACTACTAGGTAGATAGTACCGACCCTTGAATTCAATAATTTTCCCCGACCAAAGGGTTTACCTCAAGTGGTTGGGGGTCTGATTAGCCTGGACGGTGGTTCAAGCAGAAGCGCTACTCCTTTCTCCCACTTTTCGAACCCTAAAATGGAAGACTATTCGAAAAATAATAAGCTCTTTCAGGAGAGTTTGTGCATTTGCTCTCTGCAGTACCAAGAAGTCAACTGGGGTTCAGTGAATGAAAATATAGACGTTGAGACGCAACCAAGTTGTATCGTGCGAATCGCGTTCTAACGTTTTGAAGTGAAGATACGTCCATTTCATACCTTCAGTGGGAAAAAGGGATTTAATTTCTCGGGAATGAGTTTTTCTCGACTCAGGAAGTGACACTGGCGAAGGCTCTCCTATCAAAGGGCCTTTGATCATACTAAGAAAGCGCATATTTTATCGTTGAATGTGCCCCTGATTGTTTAAAAAGAAGAACCTATTGGCTGTTGCTCATGACCTTAACCAAATCCATTTTAGGAATTCAACTCTGATAATACCGTATGCGCAATGATTATTTCTCTTCTTACTGGACTAACGCTCGGAAGTGGTCCATTGGCTTCAGCTATTTGTAACAAGTATGGATGTCGAGCCACAACTATCACTGGAGCTCTCATTGCAGCTGTTGGGTAAGGACATCTACTGTAGCCATACTGAGCCTCATTCGATGTTCGTGATTAGTCCAGATCTGTGAAACGATCAAAGGGATTGAGGTTTTCGGTTTTTACGGAAGTGAACCTTTCCTCCTCTCCTAAGTCCGGCAGTGACGTAGCTGGCCATTTAGCTATATAGAATAGGCACTTAATCGCTGGGGCCTCGGACTCAAAAACGGAACACTCCAACTTCGTAGTTGTGGGGTTTTCAAACGGGTGGTGTGTCGCAGAGCGACCTGAGTGGGTGCACTTCCACTTCTTTGACCCATCGACTATGTACCCCTCACCTGCACCCAAGTTCGTTGTATCACCTTGGCTGCTCATACCACTACTTTTCCCGAAAAGTAAACTTTCATTCCTTTTTATCATCCTCATCAAATAGCTTTTTTTGATGCAGGTGTGGCATATCGTACTTTG